CCCAATCAACAAGAACAAGATGAAGAAAGGAGGAGGATCTGGGAATGGGTCAATCTACCTTCTAGATTGACTGGCCTCAGGGAAGTAGAAGAATTCTTGGTCTTGAAGATCTTCTTTATAACCAGCAGAAACCTCCAAATACTTTCTTTGAACAGTCATGCCATCCAAAGGTTTGTGTAAACTGAGAAAGTAAATTATGCTGGAAAATGACTTAATCTAAACATTTTAAATACAAATTTGCATTTAAGGCATGTTGTATTTTTAAACATGTTAGCTGGTCAAGGTCAACACTGGCAGGAGGGAGAACCTAAGACAGACTGTGACCATATAATACATGTTAAGCATGACTACCCCATCTACACATTAGGACAAGTTGTGGTTTTAACTAACAGGATTTTAATATCTTCAGCCATGCCTTATTTTCCCCATTTAGACAAACCAAAGTGGAGTGGAGATTACAGTAAAGAAATAAACCTTGTATGAAGGCATCCAATTTGGACTTCAAGCAAAGTAAATATGTTTTTACAGAAAAGCTGAAATCTAGAAAAAAAAAAAAACAGATTTTCTTGGCAGGCAATAAACCACCACAATGGTATTTGCCCACTACCTTCCAATTCTGTTTGACACTTAGATTCTTAACAAGGAAACACCAAGGATTCTTAGACTAACAAGACAAATTGTAAATGGTGAATAATCTTCAGATATTTCCAGATCGGCTAACCAAGCTGAATGTCAAATTTTCTATCATGTAATGATGTAATGAAAAATTATTTTTTCCACAAGCCAGGGAAAACATCTTATTCAAGAAATGCTCAGTTTAATATCAGAGACGAACTAATATATTTGGGCTGAAGCTAATCCAATGAAGAAATTTTATAATGAGCTCCTGTAACAGGTAGACTTAAGACACTATATTTTGGCAATGTTAAATTATGAAACAAAGACAGCCTTAAAGCAAGTTGATACAATCATGATTGTTTTCATCCGGTAATATTGCTCCCTAAGAATTGAATTACTCTAGTTTAATACCAGTTGAGTGAAAGTACAAGAGATTTCACATTTAATGACAATGCGTCAGAAGTGGACCATGGAGTTTTCCAGAATCAGAGAGAATATGCAGCAAATCCAGACCTAAACCTTTGTTTATTAACCTGAGATTCAGGGAAACCAAATTGATTAGTATATTTGTTGGTTAAAAAAAGAAAAAGAGGTAGGCATCTGTGTGGTTGTTTCCCTGGCTTAATCCAGGCAAGTCTTGAGTTAACTTGTTTGGATAACACTGTAAAAGATAATTCCATTTCTTTTAATACTTTCAGGCATGCCTTATTTTCCCCACTTAGACATACCCAAGGGGAATAAACTTTGAAGACATCCAATTTGGACTTCAAGCAAAGTTCATGTGTTTTTACAGAAGAGCTGAAAAATTCCTGTCACCATTTCAATTTCATATGAAAGAGGCTCAGAAAATTGCCATTTTCCTGATATTTCCTGAATACTCCAAATTGCCAAGATGGAGTACCTGAACAGATCTTAAACCCCTCAAAAGGGAAGGTCTGACCACTCCCACTTATGATCAAAATCTCAGTGAAATAAAAATTCCTTTCATGAGAAGATTAGTGCAGTTTGGAGATGAAGACATTTGGTTATTTTTGGAAAATGAGTATTACTAAGCCATTGCTTAAAATATGAAGTCTAGGGCACTAAAAAGGATAAAGTTCAGATCCATTATATTAAATCACCCAAGAAGTGCTACACACAGGTTGAACCTCTTCAGTTCAGCTCTCTCTGGTCCAGCAACATCCATGGTCCGGCATGATTTTAGTTACCCCGATGTCTACTCATTTTGTGCGTGGCCATGTTTCCCGTGGTCCCATAAAGTTTGTTTACAGCTACCAGTCTCAGTTCTCAGTGTTCAGTGCTGTTATTTGGCTCTGATTCACCCCAAAATGTATTCTAAGTGGAAGTGTTGGTGATGCTGCCAAACAATATTGACTTTCTGTGGTTTGGCAAATTCTCTGGTCTGGCACCGGTCAGCTCTTGAGGGTGCTGGACTAAAGAGGTTAAACCTGTATTTGATATTCTCCTTCAGGTCAGGTAGATAGATGCATTTTCTAAACACATAAAATTAATTGGAGTCCAAACTGAGAAGCCAGATACAGACCTGGCTGAAAATCTGGGACTATTATAGGTTTTCCTTTTAGCTTTCCTTTGATAGTAATATTTTTGTTTAGAGCATTAAATAAAATGCTGATGGATTTGATTGTACAGAGACTACAATGTCCATACTTGCAAGGTCTCCAACATCAGAAAACCAGATTAATACAACCTAAATTATGCTCTTCCTGAAAATTACCGGTTAAATTAGATTCTTGTTAAAAATTTTAAAAATCTATGCCTTTTCATCATGCTCAAGGAAAGCACAAGGAAAACAACTGAAAGAGGCCTAAGCAAAGGCAATACAATGTGAAGCTAGTGTGAAGATAAAGTTCGTAAACTCTATACTGCATCGAGACAAATTTTGCAAGATAAAACAAACAGGATATTGCTCCTTCTTTGAAGTAGTTGGGCATCTGACAAATTACAAAGGGTGACTATAATATTTTAGAGTTAAATATATACTGACTGAAAAGAAATTAACTTTTAAAACTATTGTTAGAAATACCTGTCACCATTTCAATTTCATATGAATGATGCTCAGAGAATTGCCATTTTCCTGATATTTCCCAAATGCATCAAACTGTCAAGATGGCAGTTCTCTTACCAATTATTATTTTTTAAATCAGGGAAGATGTTACTGAAATGGTTGCACTAGTCTCTGACAGGGTATAGCGGTGAGGGATGACAAAAATGGGGAAAAAATTGGCAGCACTTGGCTAGTCTAATAATTTATACACATGCAAGGTATGACCACAGGTTCCTGTCTATAGAGTGTGAGGAACATTAAAATACATTTAATTTTATTTTGGCAAGCTGTAGCTGCTTAGCAGAAAGAAGCCAGGAGATTAGATAGTTTAGGGAACTGGCAATGATATGCCAACTTTCAGCTTTATGTTGCCCGTTCAAATACAGACAAATCTTATAACTGTTTGGTATCTGAGTCTAATTCCAAGAGTCAATATCTCACATCATAAAAGCCACAAACATGGATGACATTAAGCTATCCTCTCACGCTTACAGGTTATCTTGCTACATCAATGCTTTAAGGCACAGTGGGAGAACAATGTGGGGACAGGTGTGCAGACATTGTCCATTCTGTCAAGTACCCTTCTGGATAAACAGAAGACTTCAGCCTCCAATAGCTGCCAATCCAACAACTCTTCACCAGCACAAAATTCCCCACAATAATTAAAACAATTGAAAAAGCAAAGCTTGGAGCATTCCTGTTGGGAATGACCTCACCAACTACAAGTGACATGTTCCTCATGCTCATCCAGATCATTTATGGTCTGTAATACAATTTTATTCATTTTTTACATTGAACACATGCTGTTAAGTAGAATATAAACTCTTACAGCAGAAACTATATTGTTTGATAACAAAAATGATACTTTTCTCAAACACAGATGGAAGAACACATGCAAAGGAAACTCCAAGCAATGTTTTATTGGACATCTGCTCTTCTTGGAATGGAAACCAAAAATCATCTTCCCATTGATGAGCACTTTACACAGAAAAGCAAAGATATCTGTTTATCTGCAGTGCCATCTGCTGACAAACATAAGCACTTGCAGCACTCTCCAAATAATCAACGCATAATAACCAGGAGTCAGCATGATTCTCACAAGTCTCAGAATGGTAGTTGTGTTAGTCTTTATCTGCTTTGTGACAACTTAAAGGCTAACAGATTTATTTGGGCATAAGCGTTCATGAGCAAACACCCACTTTTACAACCCAGTGTACTAGTTGGAAAGTTTACTCCCAACCTGTTTTCACCTGTTTCAAGGGCTTGCAATGCCTACTCTGACTGCAATTTACTTCTGCTTTTACAAATCTGTTTATCTTGGTTTCAGAGGGAGTTGTGTTAGTCTGTTTGAGCAAAAATAACAAGGAGCCCTGTGGCACCTTAAAAACTAACTATTTTATTAGGGTATTTGTGAGTTGCAACTCACAAAAGCTTATGCCATAGTAAAACTGTTAGTCTTTAAGATGCCTTTTTTTTTTTATAAGAATCTTGTTCATTTGTACGGTCATTAGCAAAGTGACTGAAAGATGACCCAGCACACTGGAAGAATGAATATTAGAAAATGGTCGTGAATTTAACTGGATTGCAGATAAAAGTATTATATTAAAATGTGATGTAGAGAGTGCAGAGTTCCAATAAAATCCATCATTTTACAGATCATTTTATCAAGCAGCAGATACTGTATAATGCAATAATGCACTGGGTGAGTCAGATAAGGTTAAACTAAAAACATGTCATATTTTAAAATACTAGCAGTACCAGAACAATAAATCATTCACACAAGAGTAAAATACTTTGTTCTAGGGTTCATGAAAAATGAAGAGTTTTATTCCATTTTGAATATTTAAACAAATCAAACACCAGTTAAATACAGAGAAGTATGTGTATATTTACAAATATCAAACAAATTAAGAGAGACATGCAGAAGTATTCATATAAAACACTCAGGTTATACTAAAAAGACAACAGTAAAAATGATGCTGGTGAGGTGTCACATTCCACAGAGTCCAGTCTCAGAACATCCTTTCTAACCTCAATAAAATATGCTTGGGAAAGGAATTTAAATTTCTGCTGTGCTTACCATTCAAATACCCCTTTCTAGGAGTGAGGAGGTGGCACATTTGTTTAGATATTAGTTCCAGAGTAAGAACAGATCAACTAACCTTTGTCTGACTGGAGGTAAACTGAAAAAGATGTATAGATTCTGTGGAATACAAATGTGGTTGTAAATAGACTAAATGAAAGAAGTAAAGAATGGCACGAGCACAAATATCTTACTGGCAGCATTATTCAGAGAGCATGAAGAAAATTGATCTACCTCAGCAACAAAGAGGGGAAACTCTTCTGGCAGAATCCATGAATGGGGATAGAAGTCGTACTCTTCAGGAAAAAGATCCTGCATTGTTCGCACTGCCCGACTCAAGGTAATTTTACGCACCATTTCTGTCATGCCTGCAGAAAATAAACAAGTCTCTGGAAGTGTTCAAGATTATTCACTTAGGCTTTGCTCTGTGCAGCAAAGTAAAGTACACTGGTGTGTTGTTACTTACCATATTGTTTTCAATGTACAGTGAAACCTTTGTTATCCAGTACTCTGTTAACCAGAAAACTTTGTTAACCGGCCTTGCCAACAGCCACAATATTGTCACATCTTCAGGTGCAGAGGCCTGGCTTGGTTTACCATGACTGGCTTAACAATTTTTTATTTAAGAAGTACTAATCATCTTTAACTCAAAATAGAAATGTGAGACCAACTGCCTCACACTACAAAACTTGAGTTTTACTATTATTGTCCATTGGTGGTTCTTAGGTTGATGGGACCCTCAGATAACTGGAATTTTTAGATAACCAGAACACCCTAATCCCCGAGCATGTCGGACAACACAGGTTTTACTGTATTAAGATTTGTGGCTACTCACGGAAGTAAATGATTCATAGCTTTTTACTTGGGTATTTGTTTATACTGCAATTATTACTGTATCACATGATAGGGAAAGCTTTACGGTAGTTGGCCAAAATATAAATGGGAACAAAGGAAGGAGAATTTTTGTCCCAACCTTAACCTTTGCTTCAGTCTGGAATTTTTACCTTCTTTTGCCAGGGTTACAGAGAAGGAAGAGGAGACATCAATTGCTTCAGAGAATGGAACGTTCCTAAACTATTTACCTTTCAATTACACAAAAACGGTAAAGGCAGAGAGATAAATCTTTCTTGTTATATGAAACAACTTTAAGGTCCATTTTTGCAATGGCCCAATTCTCCCAAGAGCCTTCAAATTTCATGAATTTGGAGATGCTGAATATGTCATATGAGGTGCTTAGCAGCTCATGGAATCAGGCCCCATTCACATTCCTTGGAGTTAAAAGTGCACTGTGAAAAGACTTCAGGATCTGTTTAATCTGTTTTTGTCAACTCTGTATCCTTCTTGCCCACTATGTGAGAGACAGGGTACAGCCAGGACAAACAGCATACACATGGCATGAAATTTAAACAACCAAAAAGCCTGCAGAGCTTTACCAAGAAAGGTGCATTGTCTGATTTTGTCTATATTTCTGTTCACAAACAGGTAAAAGTCAGTATGTGGAGCAAAAAATTCTATATGGGGGTTTCTTACTCACACAGCATGCTAACAACAGCAATATATTTGAAGTGAAGGGCTTAGGTAAGTCAATACCTACACAGCAGGATCTATACTGGGATTAAATGTGAAATAAGGGATCTTTAAAAAGTAGAATAGTCATGATAAGATGAGAGTTGACATGAACTCTTCAATATTAAAAAATCCATTTAAGGAGCTCTGCTTTGAAGTTTTCCCAGAACCAAACCAGAGCACAATACAAAATAATATTTTAGTAGAAACAACCCCTTTAAGTAGCAGCATTTTTACTGAGGTTTCAAAACACCCCAACATTGTTTAAATTATTTTAAGTACACCCTAAAGGTCAGGTTTCTCTAAATTGTTTAT